TGTGCCCCTGCCGGGAGAGACGTGCCCCTCCCGCGGGGAGCACATCGGGCGCAGCGCGAGGGCGCCACAGGGCCAAGTGGGGGCCGGCGGCTGCGGGCGTGGCAGGGGCGCCGAGGAGGCGAGGCCGGCCCCAGAGAGCCCACATCGGGTGGCGCCGCAGAGGCGCCCGGACCCCAAGGGGGGCCATGCACACCTGGCCAGGGGCCGAGGCCAGGCGGTGGCCAGGGCTCGGCCCGTGCGGGAGTTGGCCGGGCCACGCCGAGCGGGCCCAGGCATCCAAGAGGCTGTGCCTTCGCAGGCGGCCGGGCGGGACGCGTGCGTGGGGGGGGGCGAGCGGCGTGACACACCGCGGCCCCCGTGGTCTGCACACACACACACATAGACACACACGCACTGTTTTTTCACACGCACACACACAATTGTCCTACATGTTTACACACGCACACACATTCACACATTCACGCACATACAGACACACACACACACACACACACATTCACAAGCATTCACACACACACACGCACACACACACACACACACACGCACACACACACACACACACACACACACTCTTACGCAGGCGGGGCCACGAAGCGATGCAGCCTGGCTGAGCGAACAAAAGCCGAGCAAAGCAGCCGCCCCAAGGGGGCGGAGGAGCAGAGGCAGCGGCGGCAGCAGGTCCTCCCAAGCTTCCCAAAACGGTGCACCGGGCATGTGCGGTGCGTGGCCCGCGCTCGGAGCAGCCAAGAGCGGAGAGCGTGAGGTCTTTTTATTAGGGGGGGGGCTGGGGAGGAGGATGAAGGGGAACGATAGGGTGATAAACGTCGACTTGGAACCGGAGATACATCGCCAATAGATCGGCGACAGGGCCTCGATACCGACACCGCACAGTCCTGGTCGAGGCTGGGCCCCAGGCACCGATTGGCGATGAATGGGCGAGCGGGGGTCGATGATTCTCCAACTGGGCTAGTTCCCCCCCCACGTTGCACCTGAGAGGAGGAGGAGGAGGAGGAGGAGGAGGAGGAGGAGGAGGAGGATCAGGAGGAGAAGGCGACGGGGGGGGCAGCAGCAGCAACATGCGCCGCCACGAACTACAGCTCAGATTTCGATGGGAACACGTCAAGACTCCTTCAAACCAAACACACACACACACACACACGCAAACAGTCTACGGTTGAAGACCACGGCAGGCTACGCTCAAAGTGATTCGCTTCAATGTGGAAGCCGCGTGATACGACTGAAGTCGCCAATAAACACATCGACACACAAACAAGCTTCCTCGGAGAGCGTGCGCTCTGCGTCGCGCTGGTCTCAGCAGGGCAGTGTAGCAGCGGCCACGGGAGGCGCGCCGAACCGGTCAGGTGCGGAGGGGAGAGCGAGGCAACACACACACACACACACACGCACACACACACATAGACTTACACACACACACACTCCTTCGCCACCACGTGCCCGAGCTCGGCTGCGACCGCCCGGTGTGAAGAACGTGTGGACGCTGAAACAAAGAGGAGGATGCGAGACGGCGACGTATCCAGAACCACCGCCTGGGGGCTGGGGGATCGATTTTCGGATGTCTTCGGGGACCTGGGCAGTCCTTGGACATGGCTTCGTGTTGCCCCCGCCCCAGGGGCCGAATCTGTCCGCATCCACCGCCCGCCGAGGTCCCCGAAGATCGATCCACCAGAGGCGCTGGTCCTGGGTCAATCTCCGCCTCGGAGAGCGGCAGGGCCTTAGGCCTGTGCCCCCGCTAGTCGGCTACACGCAGAAGTGACCCTTGGTAAGAGTGACCTTTTGTGCGCGGCTTCGGGGGGGGACCCATCCCAGGCGCGCAAGCCGCCGCTTCCGCTTCGCGCTCAGCGATCGGGAGACCCCATTGGGCCCGCGTCAAGGGCCACTCCAGCGAAAGGTCACTCTTGTCCAGATCTGGCCGACACCAGCGCGAGACTCTCCCCAAAAAGCGCCGACCGTCACTGAGTATCGTTTAACCGATCCCCATCCCCAGCGGCGTGGCCTGGGCCCCACTGACCGATGTACCTCCCTGGAATCCCCCTAGGGGGACCCATATCCCCATCTAGGGCCTAGATGGGGATATGGGACCTTCCCTTCGGGTTTCGAGGGGTGTATCCCCAACTGGGGTGGTACTTTGGTGGGGGTCTCGAAGGGGATAGGGATGGGGATGGGGATCGGTTAAACGATACTGAGTGACGACACTCCCCCCAGGACGGCGGACCAACCGCCCACTCGCCCCAGCCCTGGCGCCCCGCGCGCCGCCCCCCCCTGCCGAAAAGAGCCGCCACCCTCTCCCTGCGCCCTCTCCCTGCGCCTCCCCCCCTGCGCCCTCCCTCCTCTGCGCCTCCCCCCTCTGCGCCTCTCCTGGCGCTGCCCTCTCCCTGCGCCTCCCCCCCCTGCGCCTCCCCCCCTCCGCGCCTCTCCCCGCGCCTCTCCCCGCGCCACCTCCCGCGCTGCCCCCGAGCGCCTCGCGGCGCAGGCGCGCCTCACCCGGCGCTCCTGCTGTGGCTCCGAGCCCACGGGGGCCCTGGCAGAGCGATCCGGCTCGAGGAAGGCCGCAGAAGGCTCGGGGTCCAGGGTTCCTAGGGGAACAAAGAGTGACATAAGCATAACATGATCGACCCACGAACCCGGAAAGGAATATAGAAATGTAACGCATGGCAACGTTTTCAAAGACAGCAGATTGGGTGACGGGCAAGTGCAATGCTGATTGTATCGATCTTGATGTACCGTGCCGAGGGCTGTGCTGTGCTGCACCGTGCTGCTCTATAGCGTCGTGGATCGAGTCTTCCTTTGCATCCGAGTCCTGACCGAACTGATCTGGATCTTCAGCTCGAGCTGCCTCAGCACATAACTAGTAGCTGCCCCAGAGCTAATTGACAGGGCGACGTGCCAGGGGACGTGCCATGGGGACGCACCGCGGGACGTGCCAAGGGGACACGCTACGGAACGTGCCGACAGACGTGCCACGGGACGTGCCAAGGGACCCATGTGTTTTCAAGCTTGCCCCGCCCTGGGGCGTCAGGAACCCATGCGTTTTCATAGTTGTCCCGCCATGGGGCGTTCGGAACCCATGTGTTTTCACGCTTCTCCCGCCCTGGGGCGTTAGGAGCCCATGTGTTTTCGCGCATGCTCCGCCCTGGGGCGTTAGGAACCATATGTGTTCACACTTGTCCCGCCCTGGGGGGTTCGGAACCGATGTGTATTCACGCTTCTCGAGCCTCCCGGGGGGCGGTGGGGAGCGAAAAGCGCCCCCCGAACATATATCCCAAGACAGAACAATGCCCTCTAGAGCCTCGTGAAGTCTCCTGGAGCCTCCTCGGGCCTCCTGGGGCCTCCTGGGTCGTGAGGAACCATGTGTTTTTGCGCTTCTTCCGCCCTGGGGGCCGGGGGGGAGCGAAAAGCGCTCCTCAACACACAAACCCAATGCACAAACCCAATGCACAAAACAAGATATAGAAATGTAACGCATAGCAACGTTTTCAAAGACACCTCATTGGGTGACGGGCAAGTGCAATGCTGATTGTATCGATCTTGATGTACCGTGCCGAGGGCTGTGCTGTGCTGCACCGTGCTGAATTGCGATGTGCCATGCCGCGGTTGTGCTCTATAGCGTCGTGGATCGAGTCTTCCTTTGCATCCGAGTCCTGACCGAACTGATCTGGATCTGAAGCTCGAGCTGCCTGAACACATAGTAGCTGCCCCAGAGCTAATTGACAGGGGGACATGCCAGGAGGACGCGCCGCGAAACGTCCCCAGGGACGCGCCAGGCGACGTGCCAAGGGACGTGCCATGGGGTCGCACCGTAGGCCGTGCCAAGGGGACGCGCTACGGGACATCCTCAAAATTCCTGCGCGCGGGACGTGGCACGCGCGAGACATCTTCCGAATTCCTGCGAGCGGGACGTGAAAACAAGCATTTCGCCTGAGACATCCTCTGAATTCTGGCCCCCCACGAGGCCCCCGCTCGAGACATCCCCAAGTTTGCAGAAACCAGCGTTTCGCTCGAGACATCCTCAACAAATTATGAAAAACAAGCGTTTCGCTCGAGACATCCGGTCAAAATTCTAAGAAATCCTGACAAAACAAACGAATTAGTCGAGACATCCTCGAAATTCCTGCGCGCGGGACGCGGCCCGCGCGAGACATCCTTGGAATTCCCGCGAGCGGGACACGAAAACAAGCATTTCGCCTGAGACATCCTCTGAATTCTGGCCCCCCGCTCGAGACATCTCCAAATTTTGCGAAAACCAGCGTTTCGCTCGAGACATCCTCCACAAACTATGTAAAATAAGCGTTTCGCTCGAGACATCCTGCCAAAGTTCTAAGAAATCCTGACAAAACAAGCGAATTAGTCGAGACATCCTCGAAATTCCTGCGCGCGGGACGCGGCACGCGCGAGACATCCTCGGAATTCCTGCGCGCGGGGCGCTTTTCCGAGTCGCGGTCGGGGCTCCAGACCCCGTTATTTTTCGAGGATTCTGCGAAAAACGCTCCGCACCCTCTTTTTTACGAGGGAAAGCGGGGGTCTGCGGACCCCGTTATTTATCGAGGATCCGAGATGGGGGGCGAACTTTCCTCGAGCGGGCACGCACAAAACGCACTTTTTCTAAAAAAATCAGCACTTTACCTCGTTATTTATCGCAAATAATTTCGCCGGCGCTTGACCCGTCAGATCCGGGGGTAAACGGCTAAAAGAGAACCCTGGGCCCGCGCCCTTTCCGGGAAAAACTCTGAGGTCCGCGCGGATTTCTCGCATCGGCGCTGGGGCCCCCTCTCTGGCGCGCGGAGCGCGCCAGGGGCGGCGCCGGAGGCGCCGCCAGGGGGCCCCAGCGACGATCCGAGAAATCCGCTTGGACCTCCGAGTTTTTATGTTTATGTCACTCTTTGTTCCCCTAGTTCCGGTCGTGAGCTCTGCCGACGCTGTCTTCTGTCGCATCGCGACGCTAGGTATCGGGGGCCTCCTGCGCCGAGCAGCCGCCGCCCCTCCTGCGCCTCCCCCTTCTTGCAGTCTTCGTAGGCCTCCTGGATGAGCTCCAGCCGGTTCTCGTAGAAGTCCGTGTACGTCCTCGTCTCCGAGGCGCGCGCGCGAGCGGGGTGGCCCAGGCCCCACGACGCCCCAGTCCCGCGGCGCCCGTCCCTCCGCGTGGGCCCCACCGCCCGCGCTCTTGGGGCCGTCTTGGCGACCTCTTGGACCTCTCTCGGAGCTTTCTTGGGCCATCCTGGGGCCATGTGGAGGCCTCAGAAGCGCCTCGGAAGCGACAAGGCGAGAAGGCAACTATCGCCGATTTTCCTCAGATTTTGAAGGATTTTGGGTGGGGGTTCGAAGGAGGAGGAGGCGGAGTGGCCGGGGTTACCAAGTGGTGGTTCGACGAAGGAGGAGGAGGAGGAGGGGGAGGAGGAGGAGGAGGAGGAGGAGGAGGAGGAGGAGGAGGAGGAGGAGGAGGAGGAGGAGGGAGAGGACGAGGAGGAGGGAGGAGGAGGAGGAGGAGGAGGAGGAGGAGGAGGAGGAGGAGGGGGAGGGGCTTCCTTCAAAGGATCGGGGTGTGACGAAGATCGGGGCTGTTCGCTCCGCCATCCGGGCGCCGCGCCCGCAGCCCGCCGGAACAGGAGGCGCAGCTGGACTTTCGCCCTCCAATCCTCGCTCCGCGGTGCCTGGGGAACTCGCGCACAGCTTCGCTCGATGCCCTCTGTCCGACAGGGGCTGGACATGGGTAGAAACTTGGGGCCGCTTGAAATAATTGAGGGCGTCTGCTCAAGGTTGATCCCGCGCTGGCCTACAAGACTCGGAAAACGACGCTGACGTGGACATGAGCACAGAGGGAGGAACAAACGACAAGACGACAAGCGACAGGGGATCAGGGTTCGAGGATCCCGGCTTTGGGGCGTTCCTGCAAGGATTCGAGATTTCGAGGTTCGAGGATCGAGGATCGGGGTTCGAGAATCTGGGCTTCAGGGCATTGGGCAACGGTCCGAAATTCAGGCATCAAGGGTCGGGCCTCAAAGATCCAGTCTTTGGGACGCTTCTGCCAGGGTCGGAGTAGAGGAGATGGACGAGAGAGGGTAACAGAAAAGAGCGAGGGGGGCGAGGGGGCGGACGAGGAGGCGCACAGACGAGCCTGACGCACGCTGCTGCTACTCCGTCCTCCTCCTCCTCCTCCTGCTCGTCCTGGTCCTCCTCCTCCTCCTCCTCCACCTCCACCACCTCCTCCTCCTCCTCCTCCTCCTCCTCCTCCTCCTCCTCCTCATCGTCATCTCCATCAGCAGCAGCATTTAAGCCACCAACACACTCGTCATTACCACCATCACCACCCCATCGTGATCATCGTCAGATTCGTCATTATCATGAGCATCACCATAATCATCATTATCATCATCATCATCATCATCATCATCATCATCATCATCATCATCATCATCGTCATCATCAGCAGCAGCAGCATCATCATCATCATCAGCATCAGCATCCTCATCATCATCATCATCCTGATCCTCAGCCTCAGGCTCAGGCTCAGCCTAATCATCATCAGCATCATCCGCATCATCATCAGCAGCAGCAACATCTGCATTATCATCATCACAATCATCATCATCGGCATCAGCAGCATCATCGTCATCATCATCAGCATCATCAAAATCAGCATCATCAGCAGCATCATTAGCATCATCATCAGAGTCATCATTGTCATCATCAGCATCAGCATCATCGTAATAATAATCATCATCAACATCATCATCATCATCATCGTCATCATCGTCATCATCATCATCGTTATCATCATCGGCACCAGCATCAGTAGTATCATCATCATCATCATCATCATCATCATCATCATCATCATCATCATCATCATCAGCACCATCATCGTAACTATCACCCTGCCCATCGTCATCGATTTCGGAATCCTCATTATCATTAGCATCATCATCAGTAGCAGCAGCCTCATCATCGTCAGCATCGTCATCTTCATAGTCGCCACCATCGTCAGCATCAGCATCCTCTTCCCTTTCCTCCTCATCCTTCTCCTCCTCCTCCTCCTCCTCCTCCTAGTCCTCCTCCCAATCACCATCATCATCATCATCACCATCATCATAACCCTCATCATTGTCACCATCAGCATCATCAGTATCATCATCGCCACCATCAGCATCAGCAGCAGCGTCCTCCTCCTCCTCCTCCTCGTCCTCGTCATCATCATCAGCAACAGCATCATCATCGTCATCATCATCATCATCATCATCATCATCATCATCACCATCAACATCATCATCACCATCATCATCAGTTTTAGCATCATCATCGTCACCATCATCGTGGTCGTCGTCGTCGTTGTCGTCATCGCCGTCGTCGCGATCACATCGTCGTCATCATCACCAGAAGCATCACCACCTTCACCACCATTATCCTCATCCTCGTCAGCACCATCAGTATCGTCACCGTCATAATCATCATCACCAGCAGTATCATCATCGTCATCATCATCATCAGCATCATCATCGTAAGTATCAACATGCTCATCGTCATCGTCGTCGGCATCCTCATTATCATTAGCATCATCATCATCAGTAGCAGCATCATCATCATCATCAGCAACATCGTCATCCTCATCGTCGTCATCATCACCATCATGATCACCATGACCAGCCATTTCATCGTCATCACCATCATCATCGTCATCATCAGTATTACGACCATCATCGGCGTCGTCGTCCGTCGAGTCGACATCATCGTCCGTCCACATCCTCATCATCAACACCATTACCAGCAACATCAACATCAGTGCCTTCTTCATCATCATCATCATCATCATCATCATCATCATCATTGGCATCGTCAGCATCATCATCAGCAATAGCACCACCATCATCCTCATCTTCGGCATCATTATCATCAGCAGCATAATCAGTATCACCATCATCATGGTCATCATCATCAACAATAACATCATCATGATCATCAGAATCATCATCATCATCGTCATCAGCATCATCATCATCTGCAACATTATCATCAACACCGTCGTCACCACCAAGTCCATCCTCATCATCAGCATCATCATAATCATCATCCTCATCTTCACCATCATCATCAACAACACCATTATCATTCTTTGGTGCTGCAAACCAGACGCATTGGGAAACATGATCGACCCACGAACCCGGAAAGGAATATAGAAATGTAATACTTGGCAACGCTTCAAAGACACTTAGTGTATTGATCTTGATGTACCGTGCCGAGGGCTGTGCTGTGCTGCGCCGTGCTGAACTGCGATGTGCCACGTGACGATTGTGCTCTATAGCGTTGTGGATCGAGTCCTCCTTTGCATCCGAGTCCTGACCGAACTGATCTGGATCTTAAGCTCGAGCTGCCTGAGCACATAGTAGCTGCCCAAGAGGTAATTCACGGGGGGGCATGCTAGGAAGACGCGCCGCCGAAAGTTCCAAGGGACGCGTCAGGCCACGTGCCAGGGGACGTGCCATGGGGACGCACCGCGGGACGTGCCAAGGGGACGCGCTACGGAACGTGCCCATGGACGTGCCACGGGACGTGCCAAGGTACGCACCAAGCGAGGTGCCAGGGGACGTGCCACGGGGACGCACCGCGGGACGTGCCAAGGGGACGCGCTACGGAACGTGCCAATGGACGTGCCACGGGACGTGCCAGGGGACGCGCCGCGCGACGTGCCAGGGGGACTCGCCACAGGACACGCCACGGAACGTGCCAAAGAACTTGCCAAGTTGCAATGCTGAATGTATCGATCTTGATGTACCGTGCCGAAGGCAGTGCTGTGCTGCGCCGTGCTGAACTGCGATGTGCCACGTGACGATTGTGCTCTATAGCGTTGTGGATCGAGTCCTCCTTTGCATCCGAGTCCTGACCGAACTGATCTGGATCTTAAGCTCGAGTTGCCTGAGCACATAGTAGCTGCCCAAGAGGTAATTCACGGGGGGGCATGCTAGGAAGACGCGCCGCCAAAAGTTCCGAGGGACGCGCCAGGCGACGTGCCAAGGGAACGTGCCATGGGGACGCACCGCGGGACGTGCGAAGAGGACGCGCTACGGAACGTGCCAATGGACATGCCACGGGACGTGCCAGGGGACGCGCCGCGCGACGTGCCAAGGGGACTCGCCACAGGACGCGCCACGGAACGTGCCAAAGAACGTGCCAAGTTGCAATGCTGAGTGAGTGGATTGATCTTGATGTACCGTGCCGAGGGCTGTGCTGTGCTGCGCCATGCTGAACTGCGATGTGCCATGCCGCGATTGTGCTCTATAGCCTCGTGGATCGAGTCCTCCTTTGCATCCGAGTCCTGACCGAACTGATCTGGATCTTAAGCTCGAGCTGCCTGAGCACATAGTCCACGTAGTAGCTGCCCCAGAGCTAATTGACAAGGAAACATGCCAGGAAGACGCGCCGCGGAACGTTCCAAGGGACGCGCCAGGCGACGTGCCAGGGGACGTGCCACGGGGACGCACCGCGGGACGTGCTAAGGGGACGCGCTACAGAACGTGCTGGGGACAAGCGTCGTGTTGGTGGCCTGGACACGTAAAAACACGGTGCCAACTCGGGACAACCATGAGAGATACCCCCTGGGTGGCCTGGACACGTAACATGATCGACCCACGAACCCGGAAAGGAATATAGAAATGTAACGCATGGCAACGTTTTCAAAGACACCTGATTGGGTGACGGGCAAGTGCAATGCTGATTGTATCGATCTTGATGTACCGTGCCGAGGGCTGTGCTGTGCTACACCGTGCTGAATTGCGATGTGCCATGCCGCGGTTGTGCTCTATAGCGTCGTGGATCGAGTCTTCCTTTGCATCCGAGTCCTGACCGAACTGATCTGGATCTTAAGCTCGAGCTGCCTGAACAAATATTAGCTGCCCCAGAGCTAATTGACAAGGGGGCATGCCAGGAGGACGCGCCGCGAAACGTCCCAAGGGACGCGCCAGGCGGCGTGCCAGGGGACGTGCCATGGGGTCGCACCGCCGGACGTGCCAAGGGGACGCGCTACGGAACGTGCCAATGGATGTGCCACGGAATGTGCCAGGGGACGCGCCACG